GAGACAGTCATAAATTTTCCCAGAGTGCAGAGCAGTAGTGGATAAAATAGGGGTTGTGCCAAAATAGGTGCTCTAAAAATTAGTGTCTTATCCAGAGAGCTAGCTAGATTGCATGGCTGAAGGTTTCAAGTCTATCTACATCAGAGCTGTGCCTAGCGCTGCTAAGGGAACTTCCGTCTTCTGTTTACCTTCTCCTGTTTTCATTCAAAAGATGATTTATTTTCTCATTAAATAATCTGGTATCATGTACATCAGCCCTATCAGAAAACTGAACAAATGGTATGCTACATATTGTCCTTGTTAGATTGGAAGGTGTGACATCTTTATATGTATATTTATGCTTTTATACATATGTATGTCTATATATATTGCATGTACATATATATATAATGTACATATATAAAAGTGAAAAAACTGTATGCATGTGAGCTAAACCCAGGATTTTAGTAGCAGTGGTATGAGAAATCTTAGCTCAAACACCCTGGGAAGGTTGGTTCTTATCGCCTATTACTTTCTTAGGTAATACAAACTTCTCTCTTCAGTGAATGAAATGTGACTCCATGTTGGGAAACTGAACTTGATGGCAGTTTGATGGGCACTTGGTACTCTGTCTCGCTGATGCTGAACAGCTTATTTTTAAAGTTGAAACTTAAACTTTTGACCCTTGCAATGTAAAGAACTGTGTTCCTGCCAGTCATCTGGAGTTGACAGAACTGGTTCAAGGCTAGGGATGCCATAGGAAATTAATCATGTATGTGAGAAATTGTATTACCCTCTGGGTATGGCTGTTTTCAATGACTATATTAACTGAAGCAAGGCTGTAGGAGTTTATAGTATATCCTCTGTGTCCATTGATTTAGAATGACTCTCACAGTAACAGATCTCCTCCATGGAATAAGAGGAACAGAGTTCATCCTTGCTTTTAAAACTGATTTTTTCTAATGGCTTTCTTGTTTCACACAGATTGTATTTAATGATTACTAAATAGTTGCAGCAGAAAGGATTAGGAAGCAGTTTTTCCTTTGGTGGCACTTTTGTGTTTGAAGACAAATCTTCTTCCCTCCCTATTTTTCTTTTCATGTTTGGATTTTCTCATTCCTCTTTGTTTTCTTTCCTCTCTGTCCTTTTTGGCCTATTCTCTTCCCTTGCCCCTTACTGGTTCTGCTGACTGGAACATCTGGAGAGCTACTTTTAATCAGTGGGGAATTGATAAGTAAAATGCAGGTTGCTCTCTGCAAAAATCAGAGAGATGCATATTTGTATGTGCTATAAAAGAGAATTGCTGGGAAGTCTGTGAATGCTATTTCAGTCATTTAAATAAATGCAGCTTTGTATACAGCTAGAAAATGGCTTGAATTTCCTTCTGGCCAGTGGGAAGGGGTAGGGGTCAGGGGGAGTGTTTCAGTGTTTCTTCCCCCAAGAGCAGCTATGGTATTTAATATTTCAGCTTTCTCATCACAGCTGCTTAGTAGCTCTTATTCAAAATAGGATCAATCAAATATATTATTTTCAGCAAGGAAAGATTTAGTCGATCTCCAGTTTCTGAGCTCAGAGCTTCAATTTAGTTTTGACAGCACTGATTGGGAAGCTGCTGCCCACACAGTATACTAATGTCGATCACCCACTCAGTTCATTCTCTGACCTCACAAGGTTGTAGCTCTGCTGTGTGCCTGTGTTACGAGAGCACTGCTGGTTTTCATTCCAAGGAGCTGGACTGAAGAGCAAACCATGCTTGGAGAAGGAATATATTGTTTTGTTCCAGTGCAAAAGTTGTTGCCTCACTCGTATCCCTAAGGAAGTTACTGGGTGCTAATTTAGTATATGGGTCAACTGAAATAAAAACCTGAGAGGATGGCTCACATCTCACTTGCAATTAGAATGTAAGAGACTTGTGGAGTTGACCTGTAAGAAGAAAGATGTGTCTTCAACACCAGACTAAGTACATCCTACAGAAACACCAACTTCTCTTCCTTAGAAAAAGTGCTTATCCACTTGCAGGCTCTTAACTTTTCATGTTAAGCTGTGATGGTGTTGGGCAGTGTCAGCATATGATATTGATAATGAATAGAATAATTCCTCTACCTGTTTAATCTTTAGAGCATTTTTGTGAGACTTAATTATTTAAGCTCTGATGCGTTGCAATAATTTTTTTTTCTTTCTTTCTTTTTTTTTTTTTTTCAGATTCAGGTGTTGAGCGTATCAGTCAATAATTTCCTTCACTTTTATGTAGAATCTCAATTTTTTTTTCAGTGAAGGCATCACAGAAGTGTTAAACATATTACTGTGTAATGATGGAAACATTATTTAAGGTTAATCCTATATTTGAATTCCTCAGTAATGATACTACTTATGTAGTTAGGGACTTCAAAGCAAGTCAATTTATCTCTGGAATTGTCATTTTAATGACAGTAAGCAGAAGAGCAGAGAGGGAATATTTAGGAGAAATTCCAGCTTGGGACAGCATATCCAAGAAGTCTTTTAAAGCTAGTGATAACTACTTCTGTGTAATGGTGCCAGAAAAGAAAATCAAGATACTGATTAACGATTTGGCAAGGTTCTACCAAGTATCGCATGGTGCTGGAATTTTCTCTGTGTGCCAGCTCCTTTCGAATCTGCTTAATGAACAAGCTTTGATTAATGAACAGGGTTATTTTATTAATATAATAAGTGGGTCCTTTGCCTCTGTCCCCTTTTTCTTCAGCATTGCTGGTCTTAGTTCCCTGAGTGGCATGTTGTGTGCAGATAGCATTGAGTGAGGACAGCAGAAAACTTGTTCAGAAGCAGAATTTTCCAAGGGTATTACTAGGTTGATGTGAATTTGCTGTGAGCAGAATTGAAGAAGAATATTATTGAGCAAAATTTGAGCAATGCAGTGTCTTTCTGACAGTGGTTTTCAGTTCTGTATAAGGATGTAAAAGAAGCATGCCTGCTGGGAGTTGAACTGAGATTAGTGTGTGCTCATCTTCTCAACACAACTGCAGCAAAAAACACGTCATCAGTACCTATATAAGTCTAAATATGGATATAACAATTCTGATGGGCACTGAATAATGTGTCAGAATAACTGAAATCCTCAGCAATAGTGCTGGATTTGGATGGCCTAATTTTTTTCTAAAATTTTACAGTTGATATTTTTCTTTTCAACTAGATCTGCTTAGAGAGATGTGTCTACATTGGAATTAGGCATGTGATTTTGTTTTTTTAATAGATTTTATACTACTAAGCAACTCTGAGAACATCAGTTGAAGTGGGGAGCTTTCTTCAACTACAATTTGTACTAATCATGCTACTTATACTGAAAGTATGTGAATACACAACTGGTTGGGTAGTTTCCTAGTTGTACATATCTTGTCCACTGTTATTTTAAAGGAAGCAATGTTAGAATTGTACAAGAGAGAAATAATGTGGTGTGCATCCCTCATAACAGAATAATGATACCTAAGGGTTGTTTTATGTTGCTTTCCACCATCTTTGACTTGCAGGATTTTTTTGACAGACTATCCCACGTGATTACCAATACCAGTATGCTTAGGAGGCACCATTTGATTAATGAACACTGATTTTGACTTATTCATTAGACTTCTTCCCTTTGAGACTGTCCTAATTATCTAAATGAACAGGCTCTCCCATCAGTACATAGACAGATTGTGATATTTTGAAAACAAAAATAGGATGAAAAAGATGCTAATCATGTTCAAATAACTAGTGAAAGGATGGCAGACTGTTCAGGATGTTATACTTTTGGGACACTTTGTTCCACATAGCTCTTCTATTTTGCATGGCTTATACATAAGATCAATTAAACATGGTGTGGAATTTGACGTATGTGAGACATGTCCTAGAAAGGCTTTTGCAATTGTCGGTTGGAATTGAGAGCAAAGCATTCATTGCCTTGCTCTTCATTAGACTGAGTAAGTTAATCACCTTTTAATGACTTATCTCCTTGGTTTTATCTCTGTTTGGGGCTGGAAGATAGACAAGATATTTTTGAGGTGTTACCCATCAGCTTTCTACCATTAATGATGCAAAAGCAGTACAGTATTTGCTGTACTAAACATGGTTAGAAGAAGAGCAGGGAACTGCTCTCATTTCAGCTTTTCTTCAATCAGTTGCATTGAGGTACAGAATGTATACTGTGGAAAAACTTTAACAGTCTCAAGAGCAATGAGGAGACACGGGAGTGAGCCGGGAGGCAATCTCAATTAACTAAGGTTCTCCTTAAGAATAATATTTTAAAAAGCCCTGTGAAACTGGCTTCAATCTGGAGGAGCAATATCCAGTAAATGGAGAAATGCATCACTGGTTCCAAATATACCTTAATAAGCTTCCAGTAATCTGGAGAGATGGTTAGTGCTGAGATGTGGGGATTAGGGGGGCTGGGAAGGATGGGCATCATCAACATCACCGTGCTGTTTGCATCCTACCAGAGAGATGTAACCCTGTTCAGCTCCTGATTAAAAAAAACCCACTTCTATTTCCATAGCCATTTTTCAGGCTCCACTGCCTGTGATGTGTCTTTGTGGTCTGAAAAATTAGGAAATGCTTCATACCTTACCGGTGTTCAAACTACTTGTACAGGCTGTACTTTTAATTAGTTCATTGGTTTCTCTGCTTTGAGAAACATATTCCAATATTTAAAAAAATACTTTTTTTTCCACTCTATTTCTTTTTTTTTTTTTTTTCTGTTAGATATGTCTACCTCATTCTAGACTATGGAAAATACAGAACAGCAGGTACAGTGTGCTTACCTGCATCAAAAGAATCATAAGAGAAACAGAATGATAGAATCATGGAATGGTTTGGGTTGGAAAGGACCTCTAAGATCATCTAGTTCTAACCCCCTGCTATAGACAGGGACACCTCTCATTAGACCAGGTTGCTCAGTCCAGGCATATTTATCAGAATTTGATGTCTTGCCTATAATGTTTTTTGGGGGTTATCAAAATGATAAAGTATTTAGTTAATGTTTTCTTAATTTTCTTACCTTGTTGTTCCATCAGTTTTTCAGAGCTGAGCAGGAGCCCTTTTGCAGCTTCCCTAGATGTTGAATCATAATCACGATAATAACACTAGTTATGTGTTGCTGGTGGCTGCCCTTGGTGACCAGGGTAAGTGTCAGGAAGTCTGTACACTCTGGCTTCAGTTTTTTGGGTCTCTCCAAGACATGCTTGAAAATGACATGATAATGAACTGAATTGCTTCTTTCTTCTCTGTGTAGCTTGACTTTTGATCATTACAACTAAGAGTGAAAGGAAACTGTCATGTTAATTTGGAAAGGCAGAAATGCTATAGATGAAGAATGGTACATCTCTTTGGAGTTTCTTTTTAAAGTGTGCTTTAAAAAGGGATACTGAAAAACCTTATTTTTTTTTAAACGGTATTCTTATGAAATAATAGATAAATAAACATTTGGATGGATCATTGAATTAATTTCCTTTTAGCCCCATGGTCCCTGATACTGTAGATCATTCTGACTACTTGAGAAAGGACTGAATGAGAAGGTAAAGACTCCAAGAACTTAAGAACTAAAGATTCTCCTCAGTGATCCTACCACTATGCTTACTAATCATGATGGATGCTAACCACCATCACTTTACACTGTAACAGATCCATTATCCTCAAGTGTTAGGTCTTATTCAGAAGCCTGACTACATTTTACTTTAATTTTCCTCTGATGCAGTACCTTGCCAATGAAAGTCAGATCATTAGTTGGGTTTAAGGACCAACAGCCTCTCTTCTAAGGCCAGAAATAAATCTTTTTCATTTGCTCTTCTGCAACTTGGCTATCTTTGAACAGTTTGAATATATTCTATGAATGCTGGCAATGGAGATTATTGATCATCAGGTTTCTATTTTGATTCTGGGGGTTGGTAGTGAAGTAGTTAAAAAAAAGACTGGTGCACTAAGGAATTATTACAATATTCTATTGTTAGTATGGCAGGTACACAAGTAAAAATTAATGGCAGCAGCTTTCTACGAATGTTAATGCATGATAATTAAATTAATGGCTCCAACATCTATATTTCTTTGAGTTCTTATTTTTGCCCAAAGCATAGAAGCTTAACAACGGGAAGTTTGTTTTCCCTGTCTGTACTCAGTCCTCAATATGTGTGTATCAGATCAAATTTATCTTACTAAATAAGCAAAGATGCAAGAGTGTTTTGAAGGGCTTAATGCTAAACATGAATCCCTCAAGCTTAGGCTGTCTGCTAAATGCCTCTGCTAACTGTTGTAGTCTTCAGAGCTGAAGAGTTGTTTCAGAGATACTTATAATACTCAATATACGAAAAACAAAGTTTAGAATGTTAGAGATGAATTAGGTACTGTGAAAAGTCTTAACAAGTCTTAAAACTTAAATAAGATTTTCTCTGAAACTGCGGTTGGATGGTTTCTTTGAAAGCCTGTTTAAGAAATCTCTGTGGATTGTTTGTGGATTGCATTTTCCAGCAATCCTAGCCTTCACATTCAGTAATATGAATTACTACACCTTGCAGCGTCTTTCACGATACACGTGTTTGCAGTGGGCAAAAAGTGGCATAGCCTGTGAACTTCAGCAGCCTATGGATAATTGTGTCTTTGTAGGTGAATGTCCAAAATTGAGCTTTTGACATACCAAGCTCTAATCAGCTGCAACTAGTTGTGGACTGATTGTCAACTTTGATGACACCTGGACTAAAACAGATTTTTGATGTGGTACTCATGATGGAGAAATGAGACAGAGACTGTAGTCAGAGGCTGGCCATGTGCTGTGCTTCTGAACCTCAGCTGTTGGATGTCTGGGGACCCAGAAAGATGAAGATAATGACTGGAGAAAAAGCGCCTAGAACATGTAGTGGGTCTTACTGATGGGGGATGCTCAGGGACTTCTGCTGATGAAATCCCAGTAACTGTGAAGAGATGGATGGTGTGAACCAATGTGTCTTTCTACCTAGCTTTGCAGGTCCTGCAGTAGTGAAATGAGGAATGTAATGCTGCAGAGAAGAAGAATGGAGAATATGAGTGTTAAACAGTAAAGTGGAATAAAACTGATCTCAATGGTTCTTTAATAAATTCCAGAATCCATGCTGGCAGTGGACTGCCACATTCTGTGCAGAATGTGAAAAAAAATCACACTGCCTGCTTCATGCACTTGTCATAGGGAAAGGTGAGAGTGGAGTCCATAAGGAGTTTGACATGTGCTAGGTTATTCTGTTGTGGTGTTGCTGAAAAGCTGCTTGGTTGCATGGTTTAGAAGTTGTCAACACCATAAGCTAGCTCCAAGTCTGCATCAATACTTGCATAAATTAGACTACATAGAGATTGCAAAGGCTACTGGGTGGAGAGAGAGTTTCATTATGCATACTGGTCTTACAAACATCCTGATTCATATGCAGTTAGCAGGGAAGCAAAACTGGGTTTTCTTCATTAGATTCAACGATCAGATTTAGTTTTACATTTCTTGAAAGAGAAGAGGAATATGTGCCAAAACAAAAGTTTAGTTGCTCTAGGAAAAAAAAGTCAGGGTTGCAATGACTTTTAAAAAAACAGTGTTAGCCATAGATGGTCTGATTTCCTACTGACCTCCTCATACATGGTTCTGAGAACATCTGTAAGGAAATAGTGACTGGGGTTTTTATCTCACTTTTAGTTACCAGTGTATTTAAAGTAACTACAAGATAAAGGCATTTGGATGGCATGGCGATGACAGTCATACTGACATCTGCCTGATCAGAACCTGCAGTAGATACTACAGGCTTGATTTGGTAAGCAGACCATGAATTCTCTTAAACACTATACTGATTTAAAATACATACTACTGCAAATAGGATGAGGCTAGGATTATTACCACTGTCACTTTATAAAATGCATCATGGGCTGTCATAGCTGTCTTTGGACTTCATTTTTCTACGTCATTAAAGTTACAGAAGCTGAAAAATCTTAATTTATTTAGAAATTGAGATCAATTGAATATAAATGCTAACATCAGCAAAATAAAGTACCTTTTGAGGCTCTGAACAGAGACACAGAATTACATGATGCATCTTTATTTCATTAGTGCTTTGTGTTACTGATGTTGTCATTAGCAACAAATGCCCAAAAGCTGCTTAGAGCAGAAGGTCAAGGGATGCTCTGAGCAGTTTAAGTATCCTTAGATTTCTTAAAAAAAAAAAAGCTTTTATTGTTTCTCCAACACTGAATAACCATATACTGACATGATGAAAGAACTAAAGCAGGTTTACTGTTTGTATTAGCTGTCCATTATTGCTTTCAGTGTGCTCTTCCATGTAGCTATCAGGAGAACTAATGGCCTTAAGTTGCGCTGCAGGAGGTTGGTGCTTGAACTACATCTTCTCAGAAAGAGTGGTGATGCAATGGCACAGGCTGCCCAGGGAGGTGGAGGAGACACTGTCCCCAGGGCTGTTCCAGAACCTTGGAGATGTGGCACTGAGGGACATGGGACATCAATGATCTTAGAGATCTGTTCCAGCCTTTGTGGTTCTTTGGCTCTGCTGGGAGTTTGGCATTGTGTAGGAGCTTTCATTGCTGTTGTTTTTATGCTGTAGTACATGACAGACTACGTGTCATGTGTGTAGTACTAAGTATTTGTTATTGGCTCTGCACAAAAAATTCTAAGGTTATGCTCTCCTAACTTTCAGGGTCAGTGACTTCACCACCTACCTTCCTTGGGAGCCCATTCCAGTGCCTAACCACTCTTCCAGAAAATTTCTGCTTCCCAGTGTCCAACCTGAATCTCCCCTGATGCAGCTTGAGGCCATTCCCTCCAGCCCTATCACTAGAATGAGCTACAAAAACAAATTTGGCCAGATATACATAATATCAGTCAATTGTAGACCAACAGATGAGCTGAAAAACACTGTGGGAGCTGATTTGCTTTTGCTGAGCTTCTTTGATAAAATTGCATATCAAAGCGTCAGAATTAATAATTTGAAAAAAAATGTAATGAAAATTGATATCTTATTTTATTATGGATTGAAATAGTTAAAGGAAGACTTGAAAACTGATGGTCTCTTATCCATGATGGGAAATACATTTCCAAGCCAGCTGTGCTGAAGTACACTCAAAGAATATTTCTTGTAAGTATGATAAAAATAGAGACTGACTGAAGTGGCAAAATTACAGCCTTCTAAATACGTAGATCTCAGTGGTTTGCAGAGATGAGACTGTGAAAGAAATAGAGGTAAAGAGGAGCATTTGCTCAAAGATGCACAGCAAGGAAACTGTCAGCTGCTCTGTCTCAAGTAATCTCATGCCCTGATTCTCTGGAGAGTGGCTGAACTTTGTAAATGACGTGGTTCTGCACCCAGATAGCAAGCACAGAGAGATACTGCAGGCATCTGAATGTAGACTGATGCCTGTTCTGAGCAAGTTTGCTGCTGATGTTGTCATACCTAGTGACTCATCTGCACTCCACATGATGATGCATCTGACTGTCACATTGCCTGAGCGTTTCCATTCTGCACTAGCATTCTTTATATACCTTCATCCAGCAGTTGAATTCTTGAGTTGTGAATTCCCTAGGCATCCCAGTGATGACTCATGATAGTATGGTGTGCATTCTTTTTATATAACTTCATTTCTAGAATGTAGTTGGATGCTGTATGTTATTAGGAGCCAAAAAAAAAAAAAAAAAAGCCCCCATCTCAAAAAAAGAAAGAAAACCATACCACTCTGCTACAACAAAAAACACCTTCTTTAGAATCAAACTTGTTTAAAAAAAAAATAGAAAACATGAAGTGACTTCTGCCATCGCTACTTGTTCTCTCAAGGCAAGCTCAACCTTGTTTTATGTGTGAATTATTGAGTCAGCAGTGACTTTCATTCAATATCTGCCACTTATTTACAGGAAATACAGTATTCAAAGTGCCGTGAGTTAAGAAAAATGTGATCTGCTTCTTTAGGGAAAGGAAGGATGGACTCTGAGATAGCACATTGAAACTAGCTTTTTTTTTTTTTTCTGTTAAATTATAGTTAAAAAAAAAAAAAAAAAAGTGACCATTGCACCTTTAGATTGCAGTTTGAAGATCTGAATTTGTATAAGGCTTATGAGATTTTAATAGGAAGTTAATATATGTTAAGTTGTCACATATGGTCCAAACTGTTGTAAAGA